AAGGCAAGATTTGTTAGCTAGAGAACTAAGACACCGGTTTCTCCTAGGTTCTTCCCTGCCTCTTTCCAATATCAGTTGAAAGATCACTAGAAGGGAAAATGATGGTTTCTCAAACAAGCACACAGGCTCAGAAGGGACTCAGTACAAGCCCATTCTCAATAAAGTTACAAATCATGCTTTCTATGGAGCCCAAAGCAGCAGGCCTTCCAAACATTATCTTGTTTGACCTGAACAGTAGAAGATGATACAAGCAGAAGCAAACTTCCACTTAAAGGACATAAATAAAAAGGGTAGGCTAACATAGTACCATTTTCAGTGAGCGATAAGGTGTTCCTCAACTCTTTTTGAGGTGTATGATATTTGAGACTGCGCTACGTACTGCAAGACTAGTATTCCCCCCCCCCCCAAAAAAAAAAAATTCTCTTCTTGGTCTTAATTTTTCATTACTGTTGTGCTGGATGGGAAGTTATAAACCTTTCAAACCCTTTACAATACAGCATCCTATGATGAAAAAATTCTGCGTTGAATTATGAAGAGCACATGTTGTGATCCTCCTGTATCTAGTTTTTGTGACTTAATATGATACCAGAATAGTCATGGAAAGGGGGGGAGGATAGGAAAGGAAAGGGAGAACAATATATTTAGACTTTGACGTCTGATCTGATTAAACTGAGAAAGAGTGGACCCACCACCTGGACAAGTCTGTTTCTCTTTCTAGACAAGACTACTTCTGTTCCTAGACTACAAGAACCACTTATGGACTTGCTCCATAACAGCTTGGTGTCCCAGTTGAGGCAAGAAGAGTGCGCCCCTTTATCCTTTGCTAAAGAGAGAACTTTTTAATCAATTTCTGTCATCTGCAAGTATGACCAGTTAATTTTTTTTACATGGCTGTTTAATAGGATTCTCTCAGTTATATTGCCTTCTACCGTTAGAATTATCACAGCTCTACAGAAAGATGGCATGAAACATCATCCATGTTACAGATGGAGACACTGGAACCAAGGGAAGTCAACAAGTTGGCCAGTGGCAGGGTAGTGGAAGTTGTGTTTCAGCCAGGGAAATAGGGTTTCTCTACAGATTTCCTCTTCAAGTCTTCCAGATAAAACATTAACCTGTTGGAAACCAGTCTTGTTTCCCTAAAAAACCCTAGTTTTTTTTTAAGTAACACTATACCGCAGCACTATATTCCAAGTAATTGTCACAACTTCACCAATGACAAGGTTTTCCTATAACAAGGAGTCACATCCCATTTTGCAGCATACACAGTAACAGTATTTTGTAACTGCTGATTATTCAAACTAAGTTAGAGGCTATGAAAACAAGCATAAGGGTGATATTTTGGGTTTTTTAAGCTTGTCGTGAAAGTCAATGTCTGTGACAAATATACAGTCATAAAGAGTGGAACCATATAGTTTTACCTGGTAGAGGTTTTCCTAGGCAACTCTTATATTAATGGAAATTTCTACATACACTGTTCTTGTTCTTAGCTACTCTTACTACTAGAAAATACTTCCTAATACGAGGAATAATAATAGGAAGGGAGGCTTACTAACTTAAATTCTTTACTTCTAGTTCAATGTAACCTACCTTCAATTTCTCCAGACTATATAAACTCAGTTCCTTTGCATTCTCCTCATGGATGATGTTTTCTTAGTCACAAATATAATCAGAGGTCTTTCCTCTAGCATCTGTCTGCTTCACATTTTCTCCTGTCCCTCTGATAATGCTGCATTAGAAAGACTAGTCTTTGTGAATGCTGGTGGTTCCTACAAGTGTTTTGTTTTGGTTTTTTTTTTTATTTTTTTATGATGCTTGTAAATTTAAGAGACAAGCAGAAGACAATATTGAAATACAAAGTTCTATTGTGGAAGCCATTAACACAGAAGAACGGCAATATGGCCCAATTCAACGTTAAGACCTGACAAAAGTGAGACTTAGCCAGACTGCTGCTGTGCCTTTGGCTTAAAGGCCGCTAAAGACCAGTTCAGTCTACGCAGCCACAGAACTGTATTGCCTCTCAAAACAGAAATGAAATTTAGAAGTGATGAGTTTCAATTTTATGCCACAGGGATATATACACATGTAGATAGGCACACACCCATCTGTATTGATACATCTCTGCTGCTGAATCCACAGTTCAGGAATTATTGCAGACCTCTTATGCTCCATCGGATGAGCTACAAATCCCATAATTAGGTAACTACCGAAAATACAAATCACTCGTAACAATAAAAATTCTGAGGAAAAAAATAAAGTCTTTATGATCACGCCATTTTAATAATAGTCTGCTGTGCCCTAACGACATTAATAAGTTAAGAATAACGTTATCAGCTGAAGATCACAAAAACTCAAGTGCATGCTTAAAGTACTTGGGAACAATTTTTCATTCATTCTGAATGGCAACTGAAATTACTCTTGTGCTTGCCACAAATTCTGTTGTATTTTTTGTCATTGTCTACATTTTTAATACTAAAAAGCACTATTTTCATATGCTAATCACGTTATAAAACATTTACCTTTGGGTGTGATGATTTCCCAGGCTTCATCTCTGCCTGAAAGACAATTCCATTTATGAACTTTGAGTCAAATTGCTTTTGAATTACACACATAATTACTATTTGCCTTCAGTTATCTGAAAGAAAATCAAGTACTAACAGCCAATACCCCTAGAAGTTACATCTGCTTTACTGATGAAGCCATGCATATCATGTTCACGCTCCTTCTGTCAAGCTCAGGTCTTAGTTTGAAACAGCTGATACACTTGAAAACAGCACTGTATATGAAGTTCAAGAATCCCATCAAAATGTCCTGGACTACACATACAACACACAGTATAAAGCATACACAAGAGCATAACAACAAAGTTATGATAGATTTACATTGCCTCCTTAAAGCTAACTTTTTAGCGTACTGAGCATCCTTAAAGTTAGTGCTAAGAAGAGCATTCAGGTGTTTAACGGCTGCTTTCTCCTTCAGATTTCACAGTTTCAAAACAAACAAAAAAAATGAGGTATTTAAGAACAGAGAAATATCTGAAGACATCAGTTTCTTTCTACTGCATTTCTTTCCCCTATACTCCACCTCCTCCAGTCACAGACAAGCCTTACACAAGCTTTAAGTTTACTCATAGTTATTCAGAAGACTTCTGTAAGTAGAAGTATTAACTCCTCAACTGCGAAAACTAGTTTCAGAGGGGGAACTAATCTAGAATAAGACCTACAAGTTTAGTAAGGGCAGGAAAAACACACTTTCCTAGTACTAAAATCTTACAGAGACTCATTACAAGAAAAAAAATTCAAACAGCGGTGTAGCTACTGCTAACCAAGGAAAAAGCAGAGTAAGAACAACTAAGCGTCAGGCATTTAAGGGCTTACTTCAAACAGCAAACTTCCAGAGCTCTGCATCAAGTGGTACGTACTCATCACTGAAAGTGTTTTCCCCTTAACTCTTACTACACTTCCCCTCCCAGCTGACCAACCTTAACGAACCTTACAGGTACCTCCCGAATTACGACAGTACCACGTAAATAAACCCCAAAACAACAACAAGCCACGGCCGGTTATTGCACTGGGGCCTCAGCTTTCCAGCGAACGCGGGCTCCGAAGACACGCCAACTCTCCAAGCACGTTAAATCATTTCCATTCCTACCTAGCAAAGCC